GACTTGGTATAGTTATGGATTTTGTATTGAGTTTTTTCTAAAACTCTTTGCAGTTTATGGTTTTGAATGGATAGGGTATTGGCTCTCAGTGAAGCTCGAAAAAGAAATCGAAATGTTTCCTTTATCATAACCATTTTAATTTTGTTTTCTTGAATTTGAAGTGAATCTACCTGCTGTACTTAACTTATTAATATGTCGAAGTTCTTATATTTTGTGTCTTCATTAGTTACTCGCAGTCACAAGTAGAGTACTTGTACTGTTGTACATGCAAGTGTAAAAACTGGTATTTGACGTTTGTAATGTGATCATACTTATGTTGGTGAATGCAAAAATGAAAAGAGAAGAAAAAAAGACAATGAGAAGGCGGTGTAATTAGCGTATCATTTTTATTGCTATAAGAAAGGTCCCCAACGACATGCTGTGTGAATTTGTACCCCAAAAGCTTCAACTGGCTATGAAGTGTTGAAAAAATTACCTTTCCGATCAACTCGCTAATCCTTTAGTTTTCAGTATGACAGCTGTCACATCTCTCCTACAAAAGTACGGGGTCGATCCTAAGCAGATAGGGCGCCTTGAAGTTGGCAGCGAGACTGTGCTCGATAAAAGCAAATCCATTAAGACTTTTTTGATGCCAATCTTTGAGGTAAATGGTTATTCCTGTCTTTATACTGATGATTTACCATAGCTAAAATCACATCATGCTTGCACTGTAGCATATACACTGATGATTCTTTGTTTCTTTTTTTTTTCAATAAAACAGAAATGTGGAAATACTGACATTGAAGGTGTCGACTCAACAAACGCATGCTATGGAGGCACTGCTGCTCTATTTAACTGTGTGAATTGGGTAGAAAGCAGCTCTTGGGATGGACGTTATGGGCTTGTTGTCTGTACAGACAGTGCTGTACGGTTCCCAGTTTCCTATTCCTTTCGAATTTCATAATTGTTTCAAAATGTTTAGGAAGAAAAAGAAGAAGGGAAAAAATATGTAGCTGATAAACAATAAGCTTCACTTGATAGGTCTATGCTGAGGGGCCTGCTAGGCCAACTGGTGGAGCTGCTGCTATTGCCATGCTGATTGGGCCAAATGCTCCTATTGCTTTCGAGAGCAAGCTTCGGGCTAGCCATATGGCTCATGCCTACGACTTTTACAAGCCTGACCTTGCCAGTGAATATCCAGTAATTCAATTCTCCTCCTGATTTTCTGCTCTGTTAATTATAGTTTGTAAACTAGATTTTTTTAACCTATGTTTTTGCCTTTCATGAGAAAATGAATCATTTGATTGGTGTTTAGAAGAGAATAATGAGCATTTAATACTTGTTTTTCTCACCGGTTGAGATATTTTTGTAGGTTGTTGATGGCAAGCTTTCTCAGACTTGCTACCTCATGGCGCTTGATTCTTGTTACAATCACTTATGTGACAAGTAAGCTACTGCAGAGAAGTTACAGCCCGGATTTTTGGTCTCTCGAATTTCTCCTTTTTTTTTGGTACTTAATGGTAATGCTCACAGGTATGAAAAGCTGGAGGGAAAGAAATTCTCGGTTGATGATGCTGAGTACTTTGTATTTCATTCTCCATACAACAAGGTAATTCAGAGTAAAACATGGCATACTACAAAAAATGTATCAAACACACGAATATATTGAGGTTTTTAACAACATATTACTTCAAACCCTGCAGCTCGTACAGAAGAGCTTCGCTAGATTGGTATTCAATGACTTTTTAAAGAATGCCAGGTGAATCACATGATACATATTCGTGTTTTCACTATAGAATATAGTTAATACTGTTTTCTGTGTGGTTTAATTCTTTTCTCTGTGATTAATTTCAATTTCAGCTCTATTGACGAGGCCGCCAAAGAGAAGCTGACTCCGTTTTCATCATTAACCAACGACGAAAGCTACCAAAGTCGTGATCTTGAGAAGGTCCCATTGTAATTTCCCTTTTTCTTTTTCCTTCCAAAATTATATCCAGTTTTTGCTTATAATTTGCTAAGCTTTTTGTGCATTCAACAGGCATCTCAACAAGTTGCAAAGCCTTTTTACGATGCTAAGGTGCAGCCGTCGACACTCATCCCGAAACAAGTGGGAAATATGTACACAGCATCACTCTATGCAGCTTTTGCATCCCTACTCCACAACAAAAACAGCACTTTGGTATATATATTTTAAAATCTTGTTTGTTAGGCTTTTTTGTTGATTTATTTATGAATTAGGCTTAAATTACTAATTTTCCTTTTGCCCTTTTTTTTTTTAATTTAAATTTGTTCAGGCTGGGCAGAGGGTGATATTGTTTTCATATGGCAGTGGTCTTTCGGCCACCATGTTTTCTCTTCGTCTTAACGAGGGGCAGCATCCTTTTAGCCTCTCAAACATTGCAACCGTCATGAATGTTTCAGACAAGTTGAAGTCGAGGCATGAGGTATGCTAGCTAGAAGCTACAATTTTTTATTTTTTATTTTTTTTATTTATTTTTCTATTTTTAATATATCTTCTAATAAAAACTTCAAAAGAGTTTCGGGTTTTAATTTTGGTACATTCAGTTTTCGTTTACTTGTTTGTGACATTGCTTGGTAACTTAGTACTTCTTAAAACTTGAGATTTGGGTAGAAATGACTCTTAACAAACGTTGTACAGTTTCCACCGGAAAAATTCGTCGAGATCATGAAGCTAATGGAGCACAGATATGGGAACAAGGACTTTGTAACGAGCAAGGATTGCAGCCTTCTCGCAGCAGACACTTATTACCTCACTGAAGTAGATTCTAAGTACCGAAGATTCTACGCCAAGAAGGCTGCCGAGAATGGAATCGTCGCCAATGGCCACTGAAAGATGGTAATAACCTAATAATATGATGCCCTTGTGAAGTTCTCCTACTCATAGTCGTTTTAGCGCCTAGAGAAAATAATTGCTTTTTGATTGTTTGATAAAAGCGTCGACTTTGTTCGGCAGGTTACGTGTCTCGTCCAATTTTTTATTTTTATTTTTATTATTATTTTTTTTTTTTTGTATTTTACATATTAATGAAATGATTGGGAACTTGCATTAAATTGATACCCTACATGCTTTGTTCCTACTTTCTAGTTTTCTATATGAATTTTCTAATCTCAAAAGTATGTAACAAATTTGTTTGGTGTAAAGATGGAAAAACCGTATGCATGCATAATGATTAGGCTAGTAAGAATGAGCTGAAATTTCGTAGCTTCACAATGCACATTTACAGGCTTTCGACTTCGGCTTGTCGCGTAGTAAAACTTTCGAAAACCATTAGTCATACTTCAGATAATTTCAAAAGTGCTGCATAATAAGTGGGATCCTCACCGATAATGGAAGTGAGTAAATAAACGTCTAGGTTAACGAGAAAATATTTCAATCAGTCACGAGCATCGTGTTCGATTTACCTGATTACGTATAGATTCATTGAAATGTATTAGATTCAGCTCGGTCAACTTCCTAATCAAAAAGTATCGGTAGATAAGACGACAATCTTATGCTAGTGTACTGTTACTGGATCCACACGGATTTCAGATGAGCCAATCTCGAATCAAAATATGAGTAAGATATATGGAGTGATCTCGATAAAACCAAGCCGTAAATACTAAATACAAGCTTCAAACAAACCTGGATCGTAAATACTAAATACGAGCTTCAAACAAACCTGGACCTTTACGAACTCGGATGTCATCAAAAACTTCCATGAGAGAATCTACTCAGAAGCCTTCCTCAATATATCAGATAATTCAAATAGCAATTGACCATGGCATTTGATCACTTATTCAGCATTTCATTTTCATACAACAACAAAATGAAACAAAAAACAAGGCAAAAACTATGTGGTAACTCGAACAAACATGGCAAAACAGATAAAAAACTAATATCACCCTTCGACTAAAAAAGAATCCTCTCGACTCTCAAGCCACCGGAGTTTTTCTGTTTGGCTTGAATACATACTGAACGAGAGATTCCTTGATGGACAAGAGTTGAGGGAATTCATTCTTCAGTTTGGAGGCATCGAGCTCGTTGTTACTCCTCGGGGCAACAATAACCTTAGCCTGCTCCTCGAGAGTAAAGTTGGTCCAAGTGAAGTTAGGATCTATATACTCACGGTACATTTCAAGAATCTCGTTATGGCTCACAACACCCGGGTTTGTGAAGTTCCATATTCCGGTGAGGTTTCTCTTAGCCATCTCGATGGATATGGGGAGAAGCTCATCCAAGACAGTCATGGAGTTTGGAATGTCCACAACTTTCTCGTACCGTGTGATTTTTGTAATGAAATTACGAGGATTCGAGAGGTCAGACGAGATGGGCATCCGGACACGTAGCGTGCAGACATTCTCGTAATATTTCAGTAAATCCTCAACCTGACCAATTAAGGCATTCAGAGGAAAGCACATAATGTATCCAATACATACTCTAATTTTACAGAACATTTCAAAGTGTCAGTAATCAATTACGAATGCCTGCAACGCAATATGCTAAATTTTCAGTTTGATGTACTGATCAATGCCCATTTCATAATCATCATCAAGAAAACCAAATCAGATCTTACAAAAAGCGAGCAGTAATCGAAACACAGATCGAGCTTTCAGGATTATCAATATATAATGTTGACTGAAAAAACCTAAAGAGAAACCCACCATTGATTTCGTCTTGGAATAAAAAGATCCGATGAAATTGGGCGAGTCCTCCTCCTTGAACCCAACACCCGACCCGAGCGGATGCCCCGGATCGTACTCGAAGATGCAACCCGTGGCGTAATTAACCAGCACCAGACCATTCTCCCGGCACACGTCGGCGAGCGTCAGCGTGCCGATAACGTTGGTGCGGATCGTCTCCACCTTATGGGACTCGCACCAGTCGACGTTGGGCCGCCCCGTCACGCCGGCGGCGTTGAATACGTGCGTGGGCCGGGCCGAGGCGATGTCGGCCTCCAGCGAAGCCCGATTCTCGAGCCGGCCCGACCCGTAGATGTAGTCGATATTCTGAGCCTCGCAGAGCTTTCCCAGCAGCCCGCCTATCCAGCCGGTGCGGCCGTAGATCAGGAACTTGAAGGGCTGAGATGATGAGCCGTTGTCGGTGGCTCCCATGACGGAATTGAATGTGTGGTCCGTGAGAAATGGGGAATGATTATTTAAATATATATATGGGAAAATGTTTGGCTATGGGCAGTCTCCAATCTTCTTTTATGTCCATACATATGTTTTCCTTGACAAAAATACCCCTATATTTTTAATTACCAAATATTATCATTTTAATATCACATATTATGTATTTACTAAATTTAATCAAAATAATTTGATTCATCTACCTATTTTTTTTTTTTTTTTCTCATCATATTGTCGAATGAAATAAAATTTTCTAAAAAATATTTATATTTATATTTAATCGTTGAATGTATTATTTTAACATAGATCTACCTAGAAGTTATTGGTCAAATTTTTCTTTACAACATTGGTATTCAGTGGCATGTGCCCAAATTTCTTTAGATCTATGTTAAAATTGAGCAAGATTTTAATATCGATGAATGTATTATTTTATATATATAACGATGATAAAGTACGAATTAGATTTTTACTAAAATCATTATTGTTCTACTTTCTCGTTTGATTCTTCATATGACAATTCCATTGTTCAAATTATAGTTCCATTGTTTAGCTTATTATGTACTCTATATTTCTAACAAAAGTTATCATCACATTAAGTTGGACATTATTCATAATAGAATTCACAATTACATAGAATTCTCTAATGAACTCGAAATAACAAGTGCCAAAAACACATTGCCAAATGATTAACATTTTCATTGTATTATATATAATACACTGGTTGAGATTGTTTCATTGTTTCTTGAGAAACAAAAGAAAAAAGAAAGAGAA